TTAGATATTTTTTCTACAATTAAGGAAAAGCCCCGCTTATATTCACATAAAATTTCACAAAAATCAGCCAAATGAAAAAAAGTTATTCAGAGCCAAATTGGGTTCCAAATAAATTTGGCCCACAGTGTAGATAAGATCCTGTTCTCACAGAGTGTTCTCTTTTGCGTTTGGGTTACAATCGAGCACGTACCCTGAGCTCGCTCTCTTTTCCCTGGATGGATGGATGGAGAACCATAGAAATGAGATGAAATTAGTTATCAACTGTCACTTTTGAAAAATTATAACTTAAAATATTGTCAAAAAAATTAATTCGGCTTGCGTTTCCAGCTTTTTCCCCAGATTTCTCTTCTACTTTTATTTCAGGTCCTAGTAATGGACCTACCTAATCGTTTACTAGTAAAATAAAATTCAAATCAAAACAAAACAATTTTTTTTTTTTGAGATTAGTGACAATTAGGCATTCCCAGGTTGACGTCATAACCGATCCGCCATTTTAGCTGAGGGGCAAACAAAAGCCAAACATAACCTGATTTAATGTTATTTTCAATGCAAACCGAGAATTTTTGAAGTGTTATTTTGTGAAGATGCCTTCGTTTTTGTGGCGTTTTTGGGTGCTCCAATAGAGCTGAAAGGGATTAAGTGAGGTTTTTTAGGATTCCAGCAGCATTTAAAGATCGAGGGGATCGCATAAACGACCTATCAAAAAAACAACGGAGTATGTGAATTAGATGCCTCAATAGGGGAGATTTGCCTGTAACGTTGTTAAAAATGCTCGAATTTGTTCGAAACATTTTGTTAATCGTAAGTTTTATGACTGTCTTGTTGTTAAAATACAAAAACACTTCATCTCGGTAGATCAAAAAAGTTGTTTATGTTTCTACAAGTATATAATATGTAACTTTTAATACCTTTTAGGTAGTCCAGCAGAATTTAAGCATACAAACAATCCGGATTGGGTCCCCAGTACAAATTTAGGATGTACTACGATAATTGATAGAAGCCCAGAATGAACAAGCCAGTAAGCTAAGCTACATGCCAGATCTGTGCACCGATCAGAACAGTCAAAACGTTTGAGAAGTCATTCTACCACAAATTTATTTTGCTAAAAATTATTTGTAAGGTTGTTAGTATCAAACTTTTTTATTTTTTAAACAATTTAGATTCTTAAGGATTATTTTTGTTAATAAATTGTTTGTTTACTATTGTCGAATTGAAATGTGAAGTGGCATGTCTGTAAATAAAGATTCATTCATTCATTCCATTCATTCACAAAAACTAAAAACAACTTAAAATTTATTAAATAAATCAAAAAACGCAAAAATTCCAAAGCACAAACTCAAAAAACATTGTAAACAATGATCTATAGGCTTTGTTTGCCCCTCAGCTAATATGGCGGACCTGTCAAAAGTCACGTGACCTGGAATGCCAATGGTTTCAGGATTTTTTTTCGATCTGCGTTTGGCTAATGACCTTGTTCCGTGGCCGGATTACGAATATCCGATACGTAAAAGTTTCCAAGTCGAAGGCAAACTCGAACCGTAGACGCATCGTTACGAACGAGAAAAAGACCTATCTATTTTCACCTGTATGCGCGCAACACGAGGCAATGCATTTTTATTGGCTAACTAGTACAGTATCCCAATTAATAAAACCTGTGTAGGTAAATATAACAAAACTTTCCAAAACGTCAATGTCAGTGAGCAACAGAAAAGGACAACATTCCCCCTTGTGGCATCCGTCTTTGATGGCTCCAGTTTTTGGCGGATATGGCAATTAGTGTGCGCATTCCAGTTTTTGGTTATAGTTCATTGGCCGCATCATTGCTAGGAAACATTCAAAAGTTGTTTGAGTTCGTGATTGACAAATACGTTGCACTGGTTGCACAATACGCGGTCTTTCCCTTTCCATCCCGTGCACGTGCAAATAAAGACGGACGGATTGCTATGTGTAAGTCTCATAATTTGGTACGTTTCGCTTCGTCTTGCGCAATGAGCTATCTGCGTCTTTTTTTTATTTAATGGAGTTTTCGTATTATTCTTCGTCTGGTAAAATATATAGGTCTAGGGCGGGTATTAAAAAACTATTTTGACAGAATAACAGAAAGCTAACTTTTGGAATGACGTTACTTCTCATAGTAATTCCAGAAGTTAACTTTGAGTTATCTTTCAAAATAGTTTTTTAATACCCGCCCTAAATCAGCTGGTCGCAAGTACAATGGTAGAATGCGAAGACTGTAGCTGGCGGTGACGTCAGCTGCAGTCCTCTATTGTTGCGTTTACTATTTAAATGCATCATTCATCATTGAATGCATGGAATTGATGGGAAACTTGCAGTGTTTTTTTGGATCATGATTATGAATATCTAAAGATTGCAACCATGTTTCGCTCTATGTTTTATTATTTAGAAATACAAAAATTAAATCATTATAAAAACCTTGTGTTTTTTGACAAACAGAGAGTCATATCAATTATGAAACATTTGGCCAAGGGTGATTTAGTATATAAAAACCGTGTGCTTCATGACAAACTTTTTAATTTCCTCTCTACACATAGATTTTCTTTTCATATTGTTGGTACATTTGGCTTTTAATTATTATCTGTAATTCATTCTAATTATCTTTCCTAGCTTGCAAAAATTTAAATTAAATGATGAATCTTTTTCTGTTTTGAATATTTATCTTGCCAAGTTTTGTACCATTACTTGTCTTTTCCAAAACAAATCTCCATGGTGGAATTTGAAATAAAAGTTCAATTTTTCAATTTTTTTAATAATTGTTCAAATAACACTGGACACAACGATTTTTAAGGTCAAAATGCACTGTTTCAATAGAAACATTAGAAACAATCCGGTCGAGGAATGCGACTGACGGCACGTGACGTCAGTCGCAGTACTCGATGTTCGATATTTTGGCGAACGTGTGTCTTATGGCCACGGGCCCAACTCGTCTATCTAGGGTGGATGCTGGCATGTATGTACGAATATCTTTTAATAAAAACCATTGATAAAAACACAAAAAAAAAAAACAAAACGAAGGAAAACGCACCCCATTACCCAACGGCTATTAGGCCAAGCAATGAAGGAAGTTTACCTCAACATAATTAGAAGTTAACATTTTTTGGGGGGAATCGGTCCATGTTCATGTGCTAAATAACATATTAAGTTTGCGACCTTGTACTTCCATAGGGTCCTTAGTTAGGGGTGGTTTTTAGGGGTAATTTTTTATCTTCTATAGTTTTTCAAAAAGTCAAAAAAAATTAAAATTGTCGTACAGCGCTGAAATTTGGTACAATGGCTTTATTTATTATTCTCATGAATATACTGCAATTCTAATTGTTGCAGCAGTCATGTGAAGTAATTACAATAGCAGTATATTCATAAGAACAATAAATAAAGCCATCATACCAAATTTCAGCGCTGTGCGACAGTTTTAATTTTTTTTTGACTTTTTGAAAAATTCCGCGCGACGTGTTCAGGCCAATAAGTCATTGAGTAATTAACGAAAAAAAAAAAATTCGCTAGGGCATTATAAAAGGAATAAATGGGCTGCCGATTGTCGAAAACTGTCACCAAATATTCTGCCCCGTTTAGTTACAGTGAATGCAAGAAAGGGGTAGGTTTCGATGCAATTTACAACTTCCTCGCACATTAGGCAAGTCCGTGATCGCTTAATTTTCAAGCAAAAAATTCGAACAAAAAACCATTGGAGAGTGCTTTTCATTAGCAATAATCTGGTGTTTGAAAAATTGAAATCGGGTTATGCATTCGGCCGCTGCTGCATCAAATGCGCGCAAACAAGCTAACGTTGATTCAATGACCTTGAACAAAAACATGCTACTATTCAAGACGCTGCAGAAAAAAAAAACTATAGAAGATAAAGGGGTGCAGTTGCTGAGTTTTTTATAGCAAAAAACTACAAGCTACAACAATCAATTGAAACTTTTTGCTATTCGACCATCCCTTTGAGCAGCGTTCTCCATAAACCGCAAATTACCCCCAAAAACCACCCCTAACTAAAAACCCTATGGAAGTAAAAGGTCGCAAACTTAATATGTTATTATTTAGCATATTAAAATGGACCGATCCCCCCAAAAAAATGTTAACTTCTAATTATGTTGAGGTAAACCCTCTTTTCAGATCCCCGTTTCTTGGACTATATTCCAAAAAAAGATGGAGGCTTCGATACGTATCGGACGGTCGTAATCGGGCCCCAGGGCGCACTATGCGTATGACGTCACATATCCATGCCATGCTCATACCGTTCCGCTCCGTGGAGTGCAAAGCCGAACTCAGTTAGGGCGGGTATTATAAAACTACTTTGAGAGTTAACTTCAAGTTAACTTCTGAAATTACATGTAATTCAAAAAGTTAACTTCAAGTTAACTGTCAAAGCAGTTTTATAATACCCGCCCTTAATCTAATGGCGAAACCCATTAGTTCTTTTCATTTGGCTCCGGGTTAACTGACCGGGTTACAAAACGGTTAGAGAAATGACATACCGTTTTCTAAACCGGTTACAAAGTGACGTCATGGATACCTACCACTCGAATTTGAGCGGTATGTTGCGGTTTGTTCAACCGGAGCCACGTGACAAGGGCTATTGGTAGAATTGGTGTAAATAACATGTATTCCGTCACTTTCTTTTACATACTAGTAGAAAAGGACACGAATACTCTCAGTGCGCACTGAACTTACCAATAACCCTTTTCACGTGGCTCCGGTTTAACAAACCGCAACATACCGCTCAAATTCGAGTGGTAGGTATCCATCACGTCACTTTGTAACCGGGTTAGAAAACGGGAAAACGGTATGTCATTTCTCTAACCGTTTTGTAACCCGGTTAGTTTAAACCGGAGCCACGTGAAAAGAACTAATGGATTTCACTATAACAAAACAAAACAATTGATTATCGATATGAAAAAATCGTATCGATATGCATCATCGAGGTCGTATCGATGTATGTATATATCGATAAGCCCTCCTCTAGATTTCACAAACGATAACGGCTCTAACCTTCAAAAAAATCAGTCAGTAGCTGTCAGTAGGAGTAGTAGGACGTAGGTATTCAGTTAATTCAAGTAAAAATTACTACCGAAAAACCGTTGGCCTGGCGCTGGCCTGTTTCTATATACATTTTGAGATCAACACTTAAGTAAAAGGTAAATTATTATTTAATCCGAGTAGGGTCCGCTCAGAGCTAGTTCAATCAAACGGTATTTTGAAGTGGAAAGGTTTGGTGTAATTGTTTTTAGTACTTTTATGTTTTTTGGAGTTCTGAACACGAATCTGAAGTTGTCCATTGAAAATTTTCTCGACAAATAGGTATGAGAAATAATAAAAAAAATACTGAAAATAGTGTTTTCCAGTGGTTTTCAGCTTATAACTGGCAAAGCAAGCTACTTACGCAAAAAGTGGCTCTGTAGTAAAATAAAGATGAGACACTTATCTACAAGTTACATCCGCTAACATTTTCTGAACATCGTATGACTTCCTTGCAAAAGAGAGTTGGAACATCGAGGAACTTCAGTTATTTTTAAAAAAATTGCCAAAAAAAAAAAACATTAATTTATATTTTCTATTTCATCTAGGTAAAGTATCATTTTATAGCTTAATAAAAGACGCAAATTTCGTGTATTTATGTATATGAGCCCTCTTCGACACAGCTTCCATGATTTCTCCAAGACAGCCTTTCAGAGTTCTTCTACGCCTGAAACAAAATAATAATCATTATCTTAATTCTCAATTGAAGAAGTAGCCCATCTCTCAAAGTGGAGTTGAAATTCTTATTCCAAAAAAAAAAAAAAAACACAAAATCTTCATCCACAAAAGACTTTAATCAAGGTGGGTTCTCTAACACAAAATTTAACTTAACCTAACTCAAGACTTGATTTAAATTTATTTTTTGGCTTTCATAAAGAGCTTTAATTTAATTTAAGATTTAAATATTTTGCCAATGATACGTATGACGTATGTCCAAATTCGCGTTTGCGCAATGCCCTAAATCTACATTTAATTCAAGAAATTTTCTTTGTAGAATGATTATTGAATAAATTGAATTATTGAATAAGACTGGTTCATTTATATATTCTTTTCCGTTTTTATCAGTCTTAAATAATAAATAAATATTTCCAGACTAATCCAGACATGTATTTGTTAATTACGTTTAACGGTTTCCTGTTTTTGAGGTTAAGTCGAGAAATTTGCATCTTTTCATCTACTGCGCAGGCGTCGTCGAGGAAAAAAAAAACAGAATTTTTCGGACATTTCCGGAAGTACGGAATTTCTCAAATTTTAAAAGGCATTTTGTTAAGCATCAAAATGCGCAACTTTGCCATAACTTAACCGACCCCGTATCTCTTAAAGTTTCCGAGATCAAAATTATGAGGCACGAATTTGGACCACCCTGTACATACTTTATGGATTTATATATATTGAAGTATATTTTTTATAGCGTTTAGAAATAAAGTTGAATATATGCTGTTAGAAAAGGTCTATTAATGATCTGGAAGAATATTTTAGTGATGCTCTTTAAACATAATCGTTCTTATTTAATCTTTTGTGTTTTTGTGCTATTGTTTTTATATACAGGGTGATCTCGTAAAAATAAAACTTTTTTCTTAATAAACATGTGTCCGGAAATGCTTCGTTTTCCAGATATACAGGGTGGCCCGAATTTGAACCTCATCATTGGTATTTCAGTAACCGTAAGAGATACGGGGTTGGTTAAATTATGGCAAAGTTGCGCAATTTTATGACCAATAGAATACCGTTTTGAAACTAGAAAGATTCCGAATACTTCCGGAGATATTCGGAAAAAAACAAAATTTTTTAAAATCGTTTTTACTTTTTCCCGGGCTTATTTGAAAAGCAATTTTAAAATAAATGTCACTTCATCATTGTCACTTCTTCCTCTCTAGTACATTGTGGTACTAAATTTAAAATTCGACGTTTCGTCTTCAGGCGGCCATTCTTAACTTACGTTTTTTAAATACGAACCTAGATTTTTTATTTGCGATTTTGTCATCTTTGGGCATCCTAAAACCGATACTGTTTATAATTTTTCAATAACACGGGGTAAAAAAGCAGGTCCGTATTTGAAAAAAAAAATTGATGATGATTCCAGAGGAACGAAACGTTGGATTTCAAATTTAATACTGCCATCTTGTAAAGAAGAGAAAGTGACAATGGGAATGTGAAATTAGCTTTTCAAAAACTTTTTAAATGAAATCAGGAAAAAATTTAAAAAAAATGAGAAATTCATGTTTTTTCGTATAGTTTTCATTTTTTCCTGATTTTATTTAAAAATATTGTGAAAAACTAATTTCACCTTGCCATTGTCACTTTTTCTTCTCTACAAGATGGCGGTATTAAATTTAAAATCCAGCGTTTCGTTCCTCTGAAATCATCATGAATTTTTTTTTTTAAATATGAACCTGCTATTTTTGCTGTGTTATTGAAAAATTATAAACAGTATCGGTTTTAGGATGCGCAAAGATGACAAAATCGCAAATAAAAAATTCAGGTCCGTATTTAAAAAAAGGAAGTTGAGGATGGCCGCCTGAAGACGAAACGTTGACTTTTAAATTTAGTAGCAGTCTAAAGGGGAAAAAGTGATAATGATGAAGTGACATTTATTTTAAAATTGCTTTTCAAATAAGCCCGGGAAAAAATAAAAACGATTTTACGAAATTTTGTTTTTTTCCGAATATCTCCGGAAGTATTCGGAATCTTTCTAGTTTCAAAACGGCATTCCATTGGTCATAAAACTGCGCAACTTTGCCATTATTTAACCGACCCCGTATCTCTTACGGTTACCGAGATCCCAATGATGCTGAAATTTGGGCCACCCTGTATATCTGGAAAACGAAGCATTTCCGGACACATGTTTATTAAAAAAAAAGTTTTATTTTTACGAGATCTACCATCCCTAGAAGTTTGTAACAAACCTTTCGTGACACCCTGTATAGTAATTGGACAAATTAATTTCTAGATTTCTGTCAAAATAGTTTTATAATACTGGCCATATAATACCTACATATGTCTGTAATCCAGAAACAAAATAGCAAATAAAATGATGTTTCAAATTGGTTATTGGTAGGAACGTGCTATTTCAATATAAAACAAAAGTGAAGCGTGTTTTTAGCAGCCATTTTTGACAATTTTGGAAAAGTAAATCATTGTATTGGCTATACGGCTATTTTGCTATCCAAAAAATTGCAAGAAACCGGCTTTGCTTCCCAAGGCTATGTTCCTACTCGTCCTTTTCACCAGCTCTAAGTAATTTTCATAGCATTTTTCATGTTCTTAGTCAACAAACTTGAAGACAGAATGTCGTTTCTCTCTGCCGAAAACGATGGTAGCAGTGGCTCATCCGTTGACGAAGACGAAGAGGGAGAAAAACAAGAGCTCGCTGCTGGCAGAGATCCAACCAAGGACCAAGGGCAAAGCTGCCTAGATTCGTCAGAATCGTCAGATGATGTGTGTTTCGGAGAGTATACAATGGAGGAAGCCAAGAGGGACGTGAGAAGAAATTGGGCGAGACCGATTACCAGAAGACATTCATGTTTGTAAGTTGAATTTTTCTTTTTTTTGATATGGTTTATTCCCTTTCAAATAATAAAAGTTATGCTGGTGCCGTGCGTAAAGTTGGCCTCAATTTCTAGCCACGAATTAGGGATGTATGCAATCCGCACCAAATCAATGTTCAGTTCTTTTAAATTAACGTTTATTGGAACTATGGTAAATTAGGGACTGCAGACATACTAACTATACTTATCTATTATTATAATAAATTATGATATATGAGCAATTTCTCCATTTTTTGAAAAGCAATTGTCAGCTGGGCGCAGTTTTGGAACGTTTTTTTTTTTTAAATAGAAGGCTGTGTCAAGTGATATATCGTTTTAAAGGTCTCTTTATTCTCAATTTAATCCCTGATTCTGAAAACATTAGGTTGTTTTGGTCATAAACACTCAAAAAAAAGAAAAAAAATGTTTTATCGGTTTTTATTATTGTTTTTTTTTAGTAATAAATAATGACGTCATGACATTGTTTACTTTGAAAAAAAACAAAAGTACTCATAAAATAATGATTCAATTACTAAAAAAAAACAAAAGGAACCTTTGTTTTTTTGTCATCGTTTGAAAACCGCTAAGAGACCTTTGAAACGAATAAAAATATTTCACTCGTGCATCATTCTATTTATAGGAGAACTATTTAGGAGTAGACATTAGAGACTTTTTGCACCCCTTAAAATAATAGCAGTTCTTGGATCAGCTATGTTTACCTTTATCGACGATAACGATTGCCACAACCTTCAAAATCAGAGATTTTGCAACGCCAAACGTTTACAAATTTCCGTTATTTATTTTGCCTCTGGGCCATGAACTGCGCTTGCGCTTTCGGATGTAAACCAATTTCATAACATCAAAATGATAATCCACACTTATTTTTTGAGAATTTCAAATGATTTTAATTAATTATTTATTAAAACGGGATGAAATCTATTCAATTTTTATCAATGTGGCATGCACACAGTTTTACCATAAACATAGGTATAGCTATAACCACAAGGTTATTCCTCCTTAAATAACGCCGCTCGTTGTGGTTGATAAGTATAACCAACATTTTTTTGGTACTGCGCATACTCAGTATAAAAATGATCACAGCGGAATGGCAAAATAAGAGGTGCAAAAAAACTCTATTGGAAAAGTTTGTTATCTCTTATTCTTAGATTAATTTCAAGAACCAAAAACATATGAAGTGGGAATTTTGATCGTGGCGCCATCTAAGACTAGGATTCAGCACTAAACAGCACATTTGCTGTAAAAGTACTGACCGTCTAATAGGCCAGCTAAAAATCGGTTGGGAAAACCCAGAATAGGGAAAACAAGTTTTCTCCTATTATCCACTGATGTGAAAATTTTTTGTTCATTTTCTTTGCCTTTCCATCTACAGACGCCTTTCGATCTATCAGATCTCATCAGTGTGGCTAAGAAAGCAAAGAAAATCAACTCAAGTTTAGTGCCTGCAGGCAACGTAGTAAATTCGCTCTTCAAAAACATATGGTTAATTAAGGAACATTTTTTATACTTCGAGCTGTTAACAATTTTGTAAATAAATAAAACATCATTCAAACTTTTGCGGATCTAGGTAACTTATCGTGATGCTTCTCCATGTCTCGTCCAATTTTACCACTTTAGCTTCAGTTATGGTCAAGTGACAGCAACTGGCGGTTACTCTCTAACTCGGAAAGGGTAGATTAGGTATAACTAATTAACCAAAGAATAATACAAATTAAGTATATAATCTTAAAAGAACAATATTATCTACTAGTTACTAGAAAATGCATGGGTACATGCTGGATTCCTCTTTCCTCAATAGGGGTTTCATTTGAAACCCCCAACTAGTATAAAGTTTCCTTCTCTGGATAGAATGTTTGACAATACCTCCATATAAACACACCAAACATTTGTTTTTAGTAATAACAATTTCACATAAAACTGACCCTGTATTTATTTATTTGTGTGTGTAAATGGCAAGTCCATTAATAAACAAATCAAATTTGTTTCAGTTCCAGATTCAAGTATCTTGATGTTAGAAAAAAAATGGATGAAGTAATCAACCAGTCCGGAGATTTATTCAGCAACCCTTCCGAAGTTACTTTGAAAGAATGCCTTGAACTTGGAAACGTTAGTGACGAACCGCTGTCAGGACATACATCCTATAATCCCAACCAAGAACCTCGTATGTATCTTGAAGTATATTGTTTATAGCGTTTAGAAATAAAGTTGAATATATGCTTTTAGAAAAGGTCTATTAATGATCTGGAAAAATATTTTGCTGATACTCTTTAAACATAATCTTATAGTTCTTATTCAATCTTTTGTGTTTTTGTGGTATTGTTTTTATATATGTTATAGTTAATATGCAAACTTGGATAGTTTGTAAACTAGCTAGATAGTTTACAAACTAACCAATCCACTGGCTATTTTGATAGAAAATCCAATTTTCACTAAAATAGCAGCTAGTTTGCAAACCAACCAAGAGTCTTGGCTAATTTAGTCAAAATTATTGAGAAAACTAAATTAGCTGGATAGGATAGGATTAGTTTACAAACTATCTAATGCAGCCTGGCTAATATGAAAACCATAATTTCAACACAAAATAGCCAACAACAACCAACTAACCAACCAATTTTCTGGCTAATTTACAAATACAATTAGTTTACATAGACAGAAATATTAATCAGATTTTTGTTCACTGTATCTTCTTTTATTGTGAAGTTGGGAATTATTTGCTTTCTTATTATCGAGAACTAATAAAGAGACGATACATTTTTCTTTGTGACTCTTTTTACTAACAAATAACGTTGTTCCTGTAAAATATAAAAACAAACCTGGCCAGGACAGCAGACAAAAAACAATAACATTCGGTATTCAAAACGTAACCTAACTTTATTCTTAAATTAGCCAGAAAATTGGTTGGTTAGTTTATAAACTAGCCATTCGTTTGGCTATTTTGTGTTACTAGAAAGCATGGTTTTCAAATTAGCCAGGCTGTATTGGATAGTTTATAAACTGACCAGCTAATTCAGTTTTCTCAATAACTTCAAATAAATTAGCCAAGACTCTTGGTTAGTTTGCAAACTAGCTGCTATTTTAGCCAAAGGGTTGGTTAGTTTGTAAACTATCCAGCTAGTTTACAAACTAGCCAAGTTTGCATATTAAGCGTAACATATACATATTGAATATTATATTGACCTACATTTGTCTGTAATCTAGAAACAAAAAAAAGCAAATAAAATTATGCTCCAAATTGGTTATTGCTGGGAACGTGCTATTTCGATATGAAACAAAAGTGAGGCCTGTTTTTAGCAGCAATTTTTGACAACCTTGGGAAAGTCAAGCATTGTATTGGCTATATGGCTTTTTTGCTATCTATAAAATTGCAAGAAACTGGCTTTGCTTTCCAAGGCCATGTTCCTACTCGGCCTCTTCACTAGCTCTAAGTAATTCATTTTTCACGTTTTTAGTCAATAAACTTGAAATGTCACTTTTCTCTGCCGACAACGATGTTAGTAGTGGCTCATCCGTTACCAAAGAAGAAGAAAAACAAGAGCTGGCTGCTGGCCGAGATCCAACCAAGGACCAAAGCTGCCTAGATTCGTCAGAATCGTCAGATGATGTGTGTTTCGGAGAGTATACAATGGAGGAAGCCAAGAGGGACGTGAGAAGAAATTGGGCGAGACCGATTACCAGAAGACATTCATGTTTGTAAGTTGAATTTTCTTTTTTTTTGATATGGTTTATTCACTTTCAAATAATAAAAGTTATGCTGGTGCCGTGCGTAAAGTTGGCCTCAATTTCTAGCCACGAATAAGGGACGTATGCAATCCGCACCAAATCAATGTTCAGTCCTTTTAAATTAACGTTTATTGGAACTATGGTTAATTAGGAACTGCAGGGAATACTAACTACTAATCTATTATTATAATAAATTATGATATACCTAACTAATAGAATGAAAAGGTGTAAAATTTAAATTTCAAACATATTTATGCATAAAAAAGGCTCACGCCATTTTTTACATATTTTCTGGCGATTTTTGATGGGATACCACTACCTTTTTCAACAAAGACTCTACAGGAAGTTCTAGAATACTGCTCAAATTGATCAAGGGTTGAAAATATGCAAAAAAAACTCAATATAAAATAGGGTCCCTATATCCCTTTTCTTGGAAATTTGGTACTAGATACTTTTAATCGGGAATAAATGGGGTGTTTTGTCTCAAATTAGTTTTGGTATGGATAAGAAATGAAGGGTTGAAAATATCAAAAAAATAAAGTAATGATAATTGATCTTTTTTATCAAGACGTATTGAAAAAAAAAAAAAAACTATAATCTACAGAATATTTATTTCTTTATATACAAATTTGCAGAAAAAAAAACGACAACAAAAATAAGTATATTCCTACTATAGTCTAGGAAAATTGTCGATTTTCAACAAAAAAAATTCCTACCCAACTGAATTTTTCAGGGATGATAGGGGGCGGGTAGGTGATCATAAAACCGAAGATATCACACATTCATTCCTCTGGCGTTTTGCGCTGTAGGGGTTGAAAGTGCGCCATTGGCGATTACTTGGTACCTATTGATTTTACAAAAAAATGTTTCAAATAAAAGATGTGCAGCATTATTTGATCTACAATGTTCATCTAAAGACTTTTTTGATTAAGGGTCGTCTGTGGTCATAAGGGCCCTTTGAAATTTTATAATGAAAATGAAAAATTTTAACCAACGTGAAAAAAATTTCTACAACACATACATTTTTGCTTTATGAAATTTTTACTCACCCCCTGCCGTTTTTCAATAGGGGTAGGTTAAAGATTTTTTATTTTTTAACAAAAAAATTTTCTTAATAAAAGTTTTATAAGATTACATTTCCAACATTTTTTCCTTATCAACTTTTTTTGTAACTCACCCCCATTCAGCGGGGGGACACTTCCCTTAGGGAAATTGCAGTTTTTAGGGGTATATATTACTTTTTTTTTCTCTTTTCTCGCCTTTGGTGCACATAAAATTTTCTTAATAAAAGTTTTATAAGATTACATTTCCAGCATTTTTTCCTTATCAACTTTTTTTGTAACTCACCCCCATTCAGCGGGGGGACACTTCCCTTAGGGAAATTGCAGTTTTTAGGGGTATATATTACTTTTTTTTTCTCTTTTCTCGCCTTTGGTGCACATAAAAAGTTGCGCTTAATATTGTTTTAAAAGAATTTTACCACCTTGTTGTTTTTAGGGGTAGTTCGCCCATTTCCAACTTTACAAAAAAAAATTATTTAGAAAAGTTGTTCAAAATAGTAAAATGAACAAGTTTTCTTAATAAATTTTTTTTGTTAAGTTGAAAATAGGCGAACTACCCCTAAAAACAAAAAGGTGGTGGAAAAAAATCCTTTTAATACAATGTTAATTGCAACTTTTTATATGCACTAAAGGCGAGAAAAGAAAAAAAAATTAATATATACCCCTAAAAACTAAAATTTCCCTAAGGGAAGTGTCCCCTAGCAGAATGGGGGTGAGTTACAAAAAAAGTTGATAAGGAAAAAATGTAGAAAATGTAATCTTATAAAACTTTTATTAAGAAAATTTTTTTGTTAAAAAATAAAAAATCTTTAACCTACCCCTATTGAAAAACGGCAGGGGGTGAGTAAAAATTTCATAGAGCAAAAATGTTGTATGTGTTGTAGAAATTTTTTTCATGTTGGTTAAAATTTTTCATTTTCATTATAAAATTTCAAACGGCCCTTATGACCACAGACGACCCTTAATCAAAAAAATCTTTCGATAAGCATTGTAGATCAAATAATGCTGCACATCTTTTATTTGAAACATTTTTTTGTAAAATCAATAGGTACCAAGTAATCGCCAATAGCGCACTTTCAACCCCTATAGCGCAAAACGCCAGAGGGGTGAATGTTTGATATTTTCGGTTTTATGATCACCCACCCGCCTCCTATCATCCCTGAAAAGTTCATTTGGGTAGGATTTTTTTTTTGCAATGCATGTATTTTTCGACTATTTTCCTAGACATAATAATGCTTTTATTATCACATACACACAATATCACTACTCTCTAAGTAAAAAAAATATACATAATATTTATTCAGGTGTTTTTCATAAATCACCCTGTATTTCGGAAACGAATAGAAGTGGCAACGACGAAAATATATTTTTAATAGCCTTTGAAAATGGCAACTTTTAACCTCCCTCGTAATCTACTGTTTCCGTTATACCAATGGTTGCCCATGGTATTTTAGACACCCTGTATATGTGACAAAGGTCAGAGTTCGCACAGTTTACTAAGTGCCTAGTAAGAAACGCGCTCTTCCACTCAAGCCTCAAGCTTAGGTTTTAAAAAAACAAAAAAAATTAATATTAATAATTAATAAAACACACTGATATTCAATTAAATTGAAAATTTTAAGTAAAGTACGAGGGAAGATAAAAATAAATAAAGAGAAAACACAGGTGACTAGAATATATCATTATTTCAAATCACACATATTTGCCCTGCTGTAGTACTGTAGAGATCTTTATCACATTTCTGAATAAAAATGTTACACTCATGCATCATTCTATTTATAGGAGAACTATTTAGGGGTAGACATTGGAGAGGTTTGTTATCCCTTAGTCCTTGTTTAATTTTAGGAACCAGAAACATTTTATCGTTAATTAAGGAACATTTTTTATACTTCGAACTGTTAACGATATTGTAAATTAATAAAATATCATTCAAACTTTTGAGAGCTGCTTCTCCATGTCTCATCCAATTTTACCACTTTAGCTTCAGTTTTGGCCAAGTGACAGCAACTGACGGTTACTCTCTAAATCGGAAGAGTTAGATTATAACTAATAAACCAAAGAATAGTATAAATTAAGTATACAGTGTGATTTTTTAAGTGTGCAACATATGGGAATTTTTTTCAGTAATAGCACAACCCAAATACAAACAAGGCCAAAAGTTGATGCATGTCTGATAATCATAATATTAGGTGCACTTAGAATGGTTGCAAGTCAAACAGCATACAGGGTAGCTCAAACAATATCAAAGCTGTACTGTAAAGTACCCTTATTTTAGAAAATTCAGCAAAATGTTATAGAGAAAAGTTGTTTGGAATTAAAAGTTATGCCTAAATACCAAAACATAGCCTCCTAAGATTTTTTTTTTCTTTCCAAAAAAGTCTATAATTTCTATATTTTTTTTATTTTTTATTTCCGCCCTTAATTCCAAAAATTAATTAAAATCAGATCAATTTTACATAACTTTGTTCAAATTCAAGCATATTTGTAAAATTCGATTTTTTAGAAAATGATATTTTATTTTTTTTATGGAATCACAAAATTCATGTTTGTTGCAATGATATTCAACACAACTTTAAAATGTCGCCATTTTTTTTAGCAAGTTAAAACATTACTAATGGTAATAGCCATATTAAAAAAACTCTCCTTAAAGTGTAAAAGTTTTATTTTATTTAAGTAAATATTACTAAAATTTTGATATTTTTTGAGCTACTCTGTATGCTGTTTGACTTGCAACCATTCTAAGTGCACCTAATATGATTTTAGACATGCATCAACTTTTGGCCTTGTTTATATTTTGATTGTGCTCTTACTAAAAAAAAATCCCATGTGTTGCGCACTTAAGTAATGACACTGTATAATCTCAAAAGAACAATATTTTTTAATATTTCCTAGAGGATGCATGGGTACATGCTGGATTCCTCTTTCCTCATTAGGGGTTTCATTTGAAATGTTTCAGTAATAACAATTTTACATAAAACTCACCCTCTATTTATTTATGTGTTTCAGTGCCAGATTTAAGTATGTTGATGTGAAAAAAGAAATGGATGAAGTAACCAACCAGCAAGAACCTTGTTCAGATGATAGTATTGTCAGTAAGACGGATGATAGCATGACAACTTCTTAAGTCTAGTCAAATCCATGTTTTCAGCAATATAGTTATCTATGTAGAAGCTTTACTTATTTTTGTGATTGATTAGTGATAATACAGGGTGTCCTTAGATAAACTGACACATTTTGCAGGTAAATATCTTGAAAACGAGAAAAGATAACAGGATGCGGTTTGTTTTGGAAGAATAGGGATCTTTTAAAGTTTTTTTCATGGTATTGACGAATCCTGAAATTTGATTTTACAGACATTCGATTTTTTGAAATAATAAATCAAATCATTTATTTCGTGCCATTTACACTTACGTGTTTACACATGTCAAAAAATAGTAGTACATTTTATTTTTTTTTAAATTTACAATTAATACTTTCTTAAATATTATATCAATTTATTAATATTTTCTTAAATATTATATTATTCACACAATTTAAAATACATTCAAACACTTTTAAATAAACTAGAAATCAAAACACTTTAAAATATACAATAAAATACATCAGACATAATACAGACATTAGGTTAAGACGGCATTAAAAAAAAAATGTTGGAGCACCTAATTCTATTTATCACAGTGATAGCAATTTATTTCCTACCCAAACGAGTGTGGAGTTGCTGAATTCTTCTATTGAATAAAATGCACATTCAATTAGCAAGTCTTTAACTTTCCTCTTAAATTTGATTCTGCTAAGATTTTTTAGGGGTTCTGGAATTTTATCGAAGAAATTTCTAGAATGATATCCAGGGCCATTTTGACACCTATGTAAATGATGGTAAATAGGTTGTAGGTTATTTTTATTTCTTGTGTCATAATCATGAACATCACTATGCCAGATAAATCTGTCATGACTGTCCCTGACATACATTAAGTTCTGTAAGATATATTCACCTGGGAGATTCAAAACTTTGAGGTCAACAAAAGCTTGTTTACAATCATCTCTGTATTTCAATCCTGCTATTATTCTTATGGCTCGCCTTTGCAAAGGCAAAGACTCTGCGGGAACCGCTTGGGTGGCCCCAAACTAATAGTGCATAACTTAAATGTGAATGGAAGATAGAAAAATAAGCTTGTTTTAGAATTTCAGGAGAAACACACAATGACAAATTTCTCAGAACAAATGCATTTTTGCTTAGTTTATTGTATGTCATTTCGGTATGGGCATCCCACAGTAAAGCTGGATTTATAGTGTCAGTATCAGTAACAGTAACAGTAAAACTTAAAACTTAAGAACAGATATGAAAATAACCATTTCTTAAGTTTTACTGTTAAGTTTGTTAAGTGAATTATAAATGGCTTTACGGTAGGCCGTGTTTTAATATTTTACTGTTACTGCTACTGTTACTGATACTGACACTATAAATCCAGCTTAATTTCTGATCTAGTGAAACTCCGAGAAACTTGACACTGCCAGTCACTGCCTCAGTTCTTTTCAATGAAAAAACGAAGTTTTGTGTCTTTCCTAGCTCTCGAAATTACATACTGTCTTATTCTTAATGAAACACCTAGAATATTTTGTCATCCTCAGAAAGTGCGACTTTTCTACTTTACAAACATGTATAATTTTTTTTTCAATTACATATCTTGAAATTGAATCATAAAAACTGCACTTTGTTGAAGAGTGTACCATTGACTGACCAAAAAAAATGATAATAATTAATTTATGTTTTATATGCACCTGCATTATTAATTAATTTGTGTTTAATACTTGTATTATTAGTTAGCTATGCGCTAATTAGTTAATAAAAGTATTAAACACAAATTAATTCTCATTTTTTTTTTATTTTGGTTATTCGATGGTATTCTCTTCGACAAAGTACAATTTTCACGATGAAAGTTCAAGATAATTCTCAAGATAATTTAAAAAAATTATACATTTTTGTAAAGCAGAAAAATCAGGTTTGCTGACGACGACAAAATATACAGGGTGTTTCATTGAAAATAAGAAATTTCATTTCAAAAAATCGTATGTATTTAAAACTAAATTTCAGCATATTTTAGGATTCAGCAATAATGTGAAAAGAAACTTTAAAAAATCCCTATTCTCCCAGAATAAACTGCATCTCGTTATCTATTCCCGTTTTGGAGATATTTACCTGCAAAATGTGTCAGTTTAACTAAGGACACCCTGCATATCTGTGACACACAACACTTATTGTGATATTAAGTTCCTAAGTTAAGAATAAGTGTTAGTACCTAAGTATTAGAATTGACTTAATTTTTTTACGTGCCTTCACATACAGTGTGCGCCATAAAGTTGGGTACATATGGGAAAATTCTTAATAAAGCTATTTTTGGAATGAAATTAATATTTTCGATTTTCCATTTAATGGTATGGGTAAAATAGGTAGTTTTATTTTATTTCTCTGATTTGCTTTCAAAATCGGCATATGGAGTTCTTTTTGGATTCTGAACAACTTTTTCTTATAAATTTTTTTGAGATCTTGCATAATCGATTTTTTGGTTATCGAACATGCCCTAACGATACCCAAAAAAAGTTTTTTGAAAAAAGGGATAATTAAGAATTTTTCCATATGTACCCAACTTTATGGTGCACACTGTATAATGTTTAATGTTCTAACGAATGTTTGATTAATATAAATAAATATATTTTCCAAGATTTTGTTTACTTTTAATCCTTTAATTTGTTCCCGGCAATTATTGCCTTTGATGCTTGCATGTTATTCTATCTCACTTTGCCCAAACCTTGTCAAGCTTGTTTCAATGAAGGTCGCCATAAAGCCTCATTTACACGGTGCAAGTAGCTTGAGCAAGTACTAACGCCAGTAGCTAAATTATCTTTGTTTTTGTGAGTGTCTCCATGCATTTTACTGATTTTAAGTCGAATTTAGTGATTAGTGCAAATTGAGGTGAAATCGCAGCAAGTACAGTTGTTCCGAAAGAAATTCGAAAATGCATTTTGAGTGTTTGTGGAGAATTTGAAAAAGAAAAACGTTGTTGGGTTCGACCATGGATATCTCGTAGAGAAACACATGGTGCATCTTCCATCTTCCACATTATTGGTTGAACTATTGAACTGGCTAAGGAAGATCCAGAAGAATATCGAAATTGTATGCGGATGACAAAGAAACAATTCAATTCAAGGCAATTAATAGGTGCAACACGATACTCAAAATATTCAAATTCAAACCCTACTAATGTACTTCACTATTCACTAAATACAAATCCTGTCTACACGCGTCCAGTCCGCTAAAGTCAGTAAAATAAACGAGAGTGGGGGAAGCCACTTGCTCAAGTAAATAGAACCTGCTTCTATTCACTTGACTAAAGAGTTTACTGGCTCAAGTACTAAATTGAGGAGTTTACACGATTCAAGTTACTAAATTTTAGTTACTGGCGTTAGTACTTGCCCAAGCTACTTGCACCGTGTAAATGAGGCTTATGGATTTCAAGTCTGCAGCCAATCGCCATTTATGAGTCAAAAGAAGTTGGACGCACTTGTTGCCAGATGTATAGGCGGTTACACACGAACGTGGATGTCTGAAAACATGTACGCACATACAAGAACGCGCAAACAAAAACATCAATGTGTATGCAAAATACCGTCGCGTCTTTGAATGTGCAAGCGGTAGAAATTTTGTATGCACACTTAGGCGGTTACACACGGACGTGGATGACTTGATACATATATGTGCATACATCAACGTACAAACAAAAACGTGCATGACGCCTTTGTACAGACGCTCGCACAAAACTATCAAAACTAGTCTTGCTATTCTTGCTACAGTGTTCAGAGTGTGCATACAAAATTTCTAGCGATTGCACATTCAAAAACGCTACGGTATTTTGCATACACATTGATGTTTTTGTTTGCGCGTTCATGTACGTGCGTACATGTTTTCAGACATCCACGTCCTTGGAATACTGTAGCAAGACTACAGTTTTGCGCGAACGTCTGGACAAAGGTGACATGCAGGTTGTTGTTTGCACGTTGATGTATGCAAGCCATCCACATCCGTGTGCTTTGATAGAGTCGCATTTGAAGCATGGGTTGTGCTTTTGGCTTTAGGCCCGGTATACATAGACGGGTGCTTGGCTCAAGCTCCGATTTTTGACAGTTGTGAGCATCGTTCCGTGCTGTTTGGAAACGTAAATATGGCGTCAAGTTGTAATTGAGCCAAGACGCAATCTTGAGCATCGACTATGAATAAGCTGTAGACTGGTCCCTACTACCAAATTCAATTTCAAGAAAGCCAATTATCTTCTTATGTATGAGCTGTTTCAGGAACAAGACTGGGATGATTTATGCGATTTCACAAATGCTAATCTGGCAATGGATGCTTTTTATAAAATAATACACAACATATTTGAGAAATGCGTACCAAAGTCTACACAAAAAAGTAAGAAGTATCCAACTTGGTTCAACAATGATATAATAAAACTTTTAAAGCAAAAACACACATGCTTTTTGAAATCTCGTAAATACAAGTCTCAGTTTTGGAAAACCAGATATAACGGTTTGAGAACCTTAATCAGGAATAAAATCAAAACAGCCCATGCTGAATACTTGGTGGATGTTGAATCAAGCTTGAAATCTAACCCAAAACTTTTCTGGTCATATCTTAAAAGCTTTAAGGAAAGTCCAGAGATTTCGGATGAAATGGCGTATGAGAATGAAATATTCTCGGGTACATTCAACATTGTTAACGGCTTTGCAAAATATTTCAAATCTGTGTTTATCAGTAATGATTATATTGCCGATCACACCAATGCAAATAATGCTAAAACATAGGTACTTTTGTGATGCAGAAATATTTGGTTTAGACATAAAAAAGGCTTTCAAAAAACTTAAACCAAACAAGTCTATTGGCCATGATGGTATTCCTGCATTTATACTGAAAGGGTGCAGTGAATTTTTACTTGTTTCTTTAAAAATCTTGTTTAATCTTATGCTTAAAACCGCCACATTCCCAGAAAAATGGAAACTTAGTAAAGTGATACCTATACACAAAAGTGGTCCTAAACAAGATATTAAAAACTATAGACCCATAACAATAGTGTGTGCAATCTCAAAAATATTTGAAATTGTTATATTTGAATTGCTTTTCAATGGAATATCACTTAAAATATCTCCCAATCAACATGGTTTCCTACCAAAAAGGTCCACATTTACGAATCTAACAATCTTTACGCAATATATACATGAAGCATTGAATAGGAAAACACAGGTAGATGTTATCTACACTGACTTAGAAAAAGCATTTGATAAAGTAAGTCACAATACTATTTTGGATGGTCTGGAGGCAATGGATGTTCCTCCATACCTGAATAATTTAATTCAATCTTACTTAGGAACAGACTCAAGTAAAAGGTATCAGTTTGTAGAATTAAAAGGTAGTCGGTCTACTCTTTTTGTTAGTTCTTCTGGTGTGCCCCAAGGGTCAAATCTTGGGCCCCTTCTTTTTGTTATTGCTTTCGATAAAATTCTTTGCAAAGTCAAAAATGTGGAATCATTGGCATTTGCCGACGATTTTAAATTATTTATTGAAATCACCTCGATGGAAGATTGCGAAATTCTTCAAAAAGAATTACAAGATTCAGCGAGTTATTGTCAGAAAAATAGCTTTAACTTAAATTTGAACAAACGCTCCTGTCTCAGTTTCAGTCGTAATAAAAACCCAATTGAATTTGACTATACAATAAATAATGAAAAACTAAAACGTGTTTCTGAACAAAAGGATTTGGGTGTAACTTTTGAAGATAATCTTTCATTTTCTTCTCATATTATTTCAAAGATTGAGAGTGCCCAGAGAGTTGCCGGGTTTATCTGTAGAAATACTAAACAGTTCAATATTGATGTCAGCATCCACCTATTTGATAGTCTGGTATTACCGATACTGGAGTATGGTAGTATAATTTGGTCCCCTCAGTATCACATTTGGATAAGTATTATCGAGGGAGTTCAAAGAAAATTTTTGAAGGCTATGCACTTTAGAAAGTACGGATTTTATCCACAAAGAGGTTGTGACAATGACTTCTTGCTAGGTTTATTTAATAGACTGTCTCTAAATCAAAGAAGAACTAAAATATTTCTCGCAAAAATGTACAGAATACTAAAAGGTTATGTTGATTCTCCAGAAATAGTCGGTCAACTTCCTTTTGCCATAAATCGTGTCAACTCAAGAACAAAAAATGTTTTTTATTTAGCTTACCCACGGACGAATTTATATAAAAGCTCTCCAATATATAATTTGTGCAATATGTTCAATAAATATGCTTCAGATACTGATATTGATAGCACTACCTACAGACAGTTCAAACGAATAATTGACTTAAAATTACGCAATAGTTAGCATGTAAGTTTCGTGTGTACTGTTCATGTTTAATGTTGGTTTTACTTGCATTTATGTCGTTTACATTTTCACGTTAGATGTTGTAATAGTTATTAATTTGATGACATTTTACAAAACTTTTCATTGACATTTTACATACTTTTAGAATAAGCATAGGTATCTGTAATTGGCTTTTTGGCTGTAGATATAGTTTGAAATAAATAAATAAATAAATAATACGGGCCTAACTCTTCCTGCATCAATTGTGTTCAGTTTGTTCCACAGGAAACACCAAAGTAGTTAAGTATATTCACCTAGGCCTTCCTACACCTACTACCAGCACTAGGGTGCCTCTTATATAAGACAGTGGCGACAATAGAGGGACTCATTTTTGATTGGCTGCAGAATATCGGCTATGTTTTGTCGTTTGTGTTTACCATTTGATTCTATGGAGATTTATGCAATTTTGTGTCAATATAATTTTGTTTTTGTTATTTGTGCTTGGTATTGACTATTTTGCAGAGATATGGGAGATTTGTTGGTTAAAATAGAATAAGGGTCCATCCTGCGCAACTGGCCGCTCTGATAAAAATTTCTCAGAAAAAGCAGGAAAAATCACCAAAAACAACAATCTGTAACCATTGTCTGTAACTGACCAAAAGTGAGGTTATGTTGTGAAAAATTTGTCAGATTGAAGTTTTCAACGTAAAAACTAATGGCGTTTCCGATTGGTAGATTAATGGCCATTTCCACCAACTATTTTAGGGAAGCCCTAAGGATAGGTATGCCTTAAACTGACATTTCTCCATGTAAAAATGTCATTTTAGGGAATACTTATCGTTAGGGCTCCCCTAAAATAGTTCGTGGAAACGGCCATTAATGCGCTCTGACACAGCCCCCTACATTTAACAAGCCATGAAGTTAAAAAGGCAACACCGCAATCTTACCGCCAAGTGGTGCTGGTGGTGTTTGTTTGTATAAATATATATTTTTTATTTTATTAATATGAATCACAAAAAATGCATAATTTATTGTACTAAAGGGCCAAAAACAGTAATTCAATGAATAACTATTTGTGTAAATAAGAACAGTAAATAATTGATTTAAATGAATATATTTCTAGAGTCTAAAGTGTTATAGGCCTATGTTTCAGTATGTCTTTTGAAAATCTAACTTTTTCTTTCTTCGGGATTTTTTCGGAAGGCAGGTCCATTCAAATACTTGAGCTGATTTTCGAAAATAAGAGGTACCTACTTTTAAGAGTTGGACGTTTTAGTTTGAACTCTCGAACTACGCCTTTATCCTTGT